ATATGTATAGATATTATAGGTAAAGAACCTAGTATTTAGACTAGTCTATTTTCATCAAACTAGAAAAAGCATACAACCCCGTTACATTTGGCTTAAAAACACTACTCCATCAAAATATGCCATTAACATTTTTTGAACTAAATATTTTACTTATTTTTTCCATAACAGGATTTCTCATTTTTACTTATCTCAAATATTAACATTATTTAAAATTCCTTAGTTTAATTATATTTATATTCCTCATAATATATTTTACTTCTCCCGAATCTGTTGGAAACTAAAGAGAAGCCCCGAGGGGCATCTGCTTGACTGTGGTTATCTCGAAAACGATATAAATAACAAATTAGTCTGTCTAGGGATATGGAAGTCACAAATGAATTCTAGGTAATTCAAATATTATATTTATATTTTACTTAGATTTAACAAGATATAATTGTTTTATGAATGGTTGTTGTTTTCTAATTAAAATATATTAGCGTTTTCCTGCGGCTCCGTCCCCATAGTAGGTACATCAATTACCAACATATCATAATAATACTAAAACCTTCTCCAAAATACGCTGCATCTTATGGTATGAGTACTCGTATTATTCCAATCGGTTCAGTAGTTATTGCAGTATAACCGACCAAAAAAGTCTTTCTATTTATTAGAATATTAGCCGACTCACCCTCGCTTCGCTCGGATTCGTCCGTAGGTACGTGTTAGCGGTTAGTATGGAATATAGACTATATAATATATTTTATATACATACATACATAGGTATGACGAGTTGTTGTGGGCTGTATTATACAACGTATTTTCCTGTGGGAAAGAGATAATCTCCCGCGGTAAAATGTAGTCTATCACTAGTCACTCTCCAGCCCTTCAACTATTTCCACAGAAAAAAATCACACCAATTCGTCACTCTATTTCGACGTGAAAGAAGGACAAACAAACTAACAAGCAAACACACATACATTTTACATTTATAATATTAGTATGCATTATATTTCTAAACTAATCTAGACCATAAATATAGAGTTTTATTACTTTCATTTTTACTATGTAGCAATTTTTCGAACATAAATAACATAATAATACCATATTACACTTCGTATAAATCTATATAAAAATAAGCAAAACAAAACAATGCCTTTTTCTTCTTTATTTTTCAACGGATCTTCGTTTTTTGTTTAGTATCTACATTAAGCTTTAATGTTATCAATAAAAAAATTGCAAATAGTTCTTTTTTTTATATTAATAGGCTAATTCTATGTTTTCCCCAATTTTTCAAACTAGTAATGTAATTTTCTCGATCAATTCAAAAAAAAGCTCATCTCGTTAATTTTCAGGTCTCTAACTAAATTCCGGCATTATTTAATAGTTTAAATTGTGAACTAATTATCCTAAACTAGCGGCCTTTACATAGGGCCTTTGCTGTATTTTGTATATTTTGAGCCCCTGCAAAAAAGGGCAAGCAAGGCAATTATGGTCGTTTTTACCTGACTGCGGCGGAGCCCAAAGGAGAGTTATTATATATGGTTTTATAAATTATTTACAATATATGTATGTATTACAGTATTAAACTTGTGTTTACCTTTATGATAATATGAACAACGAAGGTTAAAAAAATAAAAGTTTTCAATTAACATAACACAAATAATTAATTCATATTATTTTTATAAATTTGAAAATAGCCCTATCAGTTGGTTTGATTACAAGCTTAAATTGCTGAACATATTTTGATGAAACAAACACATACATAAATAGACTTCTATTCTAGCTGTACATCTCGCGAGTGGAGCCGCGAGGAAAAACTAGCAAGAACGTATACTTTAATAACAATTTTGACGGTATGTTTGGCCGTGTTTGTATAATAGTGACTCTACTTTTTATGCCAGCTGTCGCCGGGTTCGAGTCCTGCGGGGGGCATCCATTTGTGTGATGAGCACGAATGCTTGTACTCCAATCATGGGTGTCTATATTTATAATATATATGTATTTAAAGCCATATATGTGTAGTGTATCAACTAACTGGTATCCACAACACAAGCCTCATAGCTTACCATGGAACTAAAAGATTGCGCTGTATGTTAATGTACCAAGATATTTATTTACTTTATTTAATTTAGAGATATTTTATAAAATACTAGCGACTCAACTCGCTTCGCTCTGGTTCGTCCCTAGGTTGATTCTCCTTACAAGCTTTCACCTCCATTTCCACCCACTTAAGGGATTATTTTGGGACAAAAACTATTCTATGTCCTTTCTAGGGTCTCAAACTATCTTCTTACCAAATTTCATTTAAATCGGTTTAGTAGTTTTGGAGCGTATTTGGTACAAGCAAACAAATAAAAAATTTAATCTTTCCGCTTTATAATATTAGTATTATATATTTAAAATGAAATACTCATACATACATAGTATCTAGCTACTAACAACATCTTACAAAACTATTAAGATCGCAGCAAAAGATTGTATTGTTGCAGCATTTTCACTTGTTCAAACCTTTCGTCTGTTAAAAGGTATTAGACTGAAAGTGCTGCTATTTTATTTATAAAAGAAATTGTAAGAGTAGTGTGAGAATACCTTTAATTCATTCTGTTAAATATTTTTTTTATTTTATAAATTGAAATTAACACTTTTGTCCACAACAATTTTATTAATAGTCATACTTCTTCCTATATCCTACTTATAAGGAAAATATCTATATAAGTAAATTTAAACAAAACGAAAAGTCCTCACTCATTACTTTAAAATTTTGAGACCAAAAAGAATTTTAAATATAGAAGGTTTTTATGCTATACATTTTACCATAACTCTCTCTAAGATTAGTACATTTGGGTACTAGAGTACGCAAAAATTCTACGCGTGGTCCCCTTAACTCACCACTTTTGAACCAGACTGACCCCTTTTTCTTTTTGGCGTTGGAGAATGCATTTATGCATACCACCTGCATACATACATACAGATGGTCAGACCGACCTACAGCTACATGTGTCCAGATAAAATATGGTGGTACAGATGGTCATATTGACAACATGTGGCCCGATACAACGTATATCAATATAAATACTGCTCTATGCCAAAATAGAACCTTCTTTTTTAGTGGTTAATAAGGGTCTTTCGAAATAACACATTAAATTACGTGTAGTATATTCATGACTATCTCAAATTGTAAATTAAATTATTGATGTTAAGTTTATGAAGCTACCATCTGTTGTGGTAGTCAAAGTTAATACTCCTACTACGATAAATGTAGACGGATTTCGATCTGGATAGCTATCCGCCTTCATGTAATAAATTTTTCTTCGCTATATTTTCAAGGCACAGGAAATACAATTAGGGCTTCCTTCATTTATTTTAATATTACGAACACAATTAATGTTGTTACACTGAATATATTTTCCCAAATTCTGCTGTCAGAAAAACGTAGAAATGGCAACTAAGATTTTCTCTAACTTCAAATTTTCTTACATATATTCTTAATAATACGATGGGGATCAGGCCATAGTTCACTACGCATAGCCAAGTGCGGGTTGGCGAACTACATATGTCTTTCAAAAACTTACTAAGTTCTCTCAGACACGCAGGTTTCCTCATGATGTTTTCCTTCTCCGTACAATTGGCAATTATATTGGAAATGATTCGCACTTGAAAATATCAGTGGTGCGAGACCAGGAATTTGAACTGTTATTTATTATCGTTTTAATTTTTAATTATTAGAAAATAATTTTTCTCGTTGAATTTAATGAGTTTTCTGACATTTCTCATTTAATAATATTTGTGTTGTTATTTACATACTTATTAGAACACCGTATTTGTTACTTTTTACGTACTTTACTAAAGCCTGAGGGGAAAATATAACTTATATCTAACATGTATCACTACTGATGTTCTCTTTCGATCGTTACATTGATATTCAATTCACACATTCTGTTTTGTTTTCGATGCCGTTTCATCTTTATTTTCCTCCGTAAAAAATGTCTTCGCAAATATTTGTAAGCTTTTCTGTGTTCAATCACTTCTGTTCTTGACTTGGGGCTGTATAGATTGTATATAGAAAGCTTTCGTTTTTCCTAATTTTAGCCATAATACCATTTTATACTAAAAGAAAAAAATTGAAATTTATAAATAACTATACGAGTATAATATGAGAACGCGTAGAACTGAGAAATAAATCTATATATTTGTATTAACTTCTTGATATGACTAATAATAATGATCGAATTTTAGTAAGCAAATGTTAATATTAATAATATTATTTTTCTCATTGTGATTCAAAGAGAGAATGCAAACAGCATTTTTGTCAAAATCTCGTGCGAAAATGACTTATGATTTATATTAATCTACTTAAATGTATAATAAAATTCTGAGTCAAATCTGTATATTATATTTATTTTTTTAATTTTTATTGAAATAAACATTATTATCGATACAAAGACCGGATCTATACTTTTTAGAATTTTTGTCTGTCTGTCTGTCTGTCTGTCTGTCTGTCTGGGAACGCATCAAGAGAAAACCGCTGGACACATTTTGATAAAACTTGGTACAACGATAGCTGGTTATCCGGGTCAACATATAGGATACTTTTTACTGCAGGAAAATATCTCATCTCTAAGAAATCTATATATATATATATATATATATATATATATATATATATATATATAAATTCATAAGTGTACATTTCTTTCTTTTCAATTTTACGAATTTAAACGTATTGAAAGTTAATAGTTTCTTAGATTTACGCGAATATTTGACATTTGAAATAAAACTTTTCGGATTTTTTCGCGGATTTATTTGGATTTTTGGTACCCGACGTTTCGAATGCTTTACAGGAATCATGGTCACGAATTTTTACATCAAACTTATTTGGAACCATCTTTGCTTTATAACCTTTAAAAATCTTAAAAATCGGCTATCTCTTGGTAAAAAACCGCCCAAAACCAACAGAATTCCATCTCATCTTTAATATTTTTAATTACATTCAATTTAATGATAGCTCTTTTTCTTTGCAGGTCCATCCCCTCCACCCTCATCGCAGTCATCAACAATTAGGCCTGAAGAAAATGAGCTCACAGTAACCTTCCCCCCTCTAGACGACCTAGTATATGGCACACAAGAGAAACAATTTGGTACAGAAAATAACACAGTAGTAACATCGCAGACCGGGTCTACTGCACTGTTGCCCTGTGTCATAAGAAATATTGGAGATGGAATAGTGAGTTATACATACAAAATATTATTTATTTTAAGTAATCAAAAATATAGTTGCAATCGAAAAATTTAAATATACTTTTAAAAACTATTTTAAATTGTCTATTTTTACATGTAAATCAAATATAGCTAAAATCATGTGAAGCATAAATTTATTTAACACTAAAACAATTCAAAAATTCGATTTTAATGAAAACCTTCCATAAAGTTCACTAGACGCAAAGTAGCGGAAGAATGAAGCTGGTCTATGCTAGACACTGTTATTTCACGCATCGAAATTTTCGTTTTGGTACTCACTCATGGACTTTATAAAATAGCATGACGCTTAAAATCATAACCGAGGGTAGCGTCAAGTTTTTACATTTGGGTTGATCAATAAAGGGATGTCGACTTCTAGTCATTTATACTACTTACACCAAAAATTGACTATATACCTATCTGATCTTTAGAACTTTAAATAGATCTACTTTCGGAATAATACAAGTTTATATTGTCGCAAAAAAAATGGTTCCCAACACTGATTTATTACTGATTATTTGATACATGTTAATTCTATCAAGCCGTATATGGCTAGGGTAGTGGACTATCATCTGATTTCTCCGCGTTGATGGAACGCTTGTGTCCAGCAGTGAGACCTAAATATAGCTCAAGAAGCAAGACTAAAATTAAGTAAAGATTTTTGAAAATTAATTTATTCAAGAAAACTCAATCGTACGAATAAGTACAAAAGTATTTAATGTTTAAACAGACGATACTGGTACATAATTAGCTTTTGCCTTAGTATTCGCTCGCATAGTCTATTCACACCATTTATAACTCAAGAACATCTGAATCGATTTTTATGATCTTTGATTTTTGGATTTGTCTCCGTCCCGAATAGCAGAATTACTATTAAAATATTGCAATAATGTACAAAACATAAGATAAAATTTAACGCTGGCTAATACCTATATCCATACTTAATATTATAAATGTGAAAGTGTTTGTTTGTTTTTTGTCTTTCTTTCACATCGAAACGGCTTGGCGGATTGCCGTGATTTTGTGTGGAGATAGTTGGAGAGATGGAGAGTGATATAGGCTACTTTTTATCGCAGGAGATTATCTTTCTCCCACGGGAAAACACGTTATAATACAATCCAAAAAAATATTTATGATCAGAAATACTTAAAACTTGGTATTAATACTCTCCAATACAATTAATTAAATACGTATTTTAGCAGTTTTCTAAATTCATCTCATAAGGGGGTAAAATAGCGGATAAAAGTTTGTATGAAACCTACCTTTTTGAGTGTTTTTCGTAGTCTTAGCGCGAGCGAAGCCGCGGGTTCTGGTAGTAAACCTATAATTTTTAGATATAAACGTACCTAGAGACGCACCTGAGCGAACCGAGTATAGGTCTTTAGTTATTCATAATTACTAAGCTCCAAAGGATCGTATTTTAATGTAAGAAAAATAACATAATTTCCACTTTATAATATTACTGTACATTATTTTAAACCCAGTTAAAAGTGCATAGTGCACGTATGTAACATACATAACATATTATAACAATTATACATATGTACATATATACTGCCTAAGTCAGGAGCGGGTCACCGTATATTAATAAAAAAATTCAAATAGCATTTGGGGAGTTCGTGTTTTAATTTCACGTGCAAAAACGTTAAGTGGAAAAATTTTATCGCATACGAAAATATTCAAAGCTTGTAAAAAAATAGAAATGCTTAAATTACATTTCGTATTTCCGTTTGCATAATTGCACTGTTAATAAAGTTAAAAGTGTAGTTAACTTTGTTTTGAGGTTGTAAAAAAATAATGAGTTAGTTAAATAGCTATTAAACTGCTGTAAATAGCAAAGAAGTGGAAGTATGAAAATTTTTAAAAGAATATTTTCTGGTTAAAAAACGTTTTATATTTTAGTTTATGACCCGAAACTAATTAACACTATATTAAATGAATGCATGTATATGTATGCATGTATATAGTACTTTTTGTTTTTAACGTCCCATTGCCAAGTACAGGCCTTCAATACAACGTGGATCAGGCCATAGTCTACCATACTGGCCAAAGGCAGGGCTTGAGTTTTGATAGCTAGGTTTTTTTACACATTTAGGTTTACTTACGATGTTATCCTTCACCGTAAGACAAGTTACAAATACACATATTATGATAATATCAGAGATGCGAGACCCGGGAATTGAACCAGTTGGGTTCAAAACAAGCGCGTTACTGCCTGTCAATTCAAAATTAAGACTGACCTACTATAAATTGTAAATCTCTTACATAATTTAGGTTTTGATACATGTTTAATAATAGTTGAGGTAACTTTGTCTATAATTCCAGAGAGGAGGGGCACAATTTGTCGCATTCCCAATGACTTATGTCGAATTATATTCAATATGTATTCAATATCCATACTTCCATATTCATACTTCCATACTTATATTACAAATGTGAAAGTGTGTTTGTTTGTCTTTCTTTAACGTCGAAACGGAGTGACGAATTTTTAAGATTTTTGGTGTGAAGATAGTTGGAGAGCTGGAGGGTGACATAGACTACTTTTTATAGCGGGAGATCATCGCATTCCCACGGGAAAACACGTTATAATACAAACTCATTTTTTTATTTTTGAAAAGTATTACTTGAAACTTGGTATTAATGCTTTTCAATACAAATAAATAAATATTTGTTTTAGGATTTCTGAAAATTCGTCCCATAAGGGGGTAAAATAGGGGATGAAAGTTTCTATGAAACCTATGTAGTTAACCTACCTTTTAGAATTTTTTTGTAGTTTTAGGGCGAGCGGTTTTGCTAGTGTTAGCAATATATTTTATAAGTGTTTTCTAAACGATTATTTCCTAAACAATGTCCGTGTTTACACCGTTAAGGAATTTGATTTGAACAATATTAAATTAAAAAATAGTTAACCAACAGAAAATTCATTAAAATAAGCGAAAATGTAACAAATATTCCCGTCTTTATTGAAAGCCAATTAGATTATAGATATTTAATAACGTTAGTTTCAAGAGAGCTTTCCTTCAATTAAATCCGAGCTTTTATCTATGAAAAGCTTATAAATAATATTTAATCTAGAAAGTTTAAGGGACGATTCAATTAGATTACTTTGTATTACAGTGAGCCTCTAAACAATATAATCAATTATATTTCATTCCATTTCTAAAGCTTCTTTGTATCGAGGTAATTTTGGTAGTAAAAGCTAAGTTCTTTTGATATAAGTATATGTATAGAGTATATACTTTTGATTAGCCTATAGTCTAATAGCTAATTTAATGGCTAAACATCGTGAGGCAATGAGTTAGTTTAAGAGTTTTTTCTTCACAAAATACTGTATTGTATTATATTTAGCCCTTTTAACATCCCACTGCTAGGCACCGCCCTTCAAGACGAGAGGGATCAGGCCATAGTCCACCACGCTGGCCAAGTACGGGTTGGCGTATTGCACATGTGTTTCAAAAACTTTCTACATTCTCTCAGACATGTAGACCGGGTTTGAAACCGCTTAAACTGGGTTACCACTGCCTCACAAAATACTCAGTAGAAAGTTATTGGGGATTGCTGGTTTTATCTATATATTTTATTTTAATTTCTTATTATTAAAACAAGTAATATCACACCAAATTAGTCTATTCCCAAGAATTGGCCTTACCCTGACATGGATCACTTAATAAAAATAATAATAATATAATTCTAAGACAATATTAAGACCAACACTAATATCTTGTGTAGGATAAAAGGTAGCTTAAATATAACCCTTCGACTCATAAACTATCTCTATAAAAAATATCACGATGACCCGCTTTCTTCATAAACCAAACCAACCAACAAACACTGACATTTTTCAACATTAGTAGGTATTCACCCAGCAGTCGAAATTCGAATCATTATTGAAACATTGAGGAAAACATATATAAGTACCTAATAAATAAATAAGTATGTTGGGACATTAACACACAGCACCATCTAGTTCCATGGTAAGCTACGAGACATGTGTTATAGATACCAGATAGTTGGTATACTACATATATATATATATATATATATATATATATAACTTTCAATATATACATATTAAAAATATAAATACCGATGACTGGGTACATACATTCGTGCTCATCACACGAATGAATGCTCCCAGCGGGACTCGAACCTGCCATCGCTTGCACAGCAAGTAGGGTAGCACTACAAACTGAGCCAAGCGTGTCGTCGTATGAATAGAATTTACTTACGTAGGTATGTAAAAAAAATTAACTGCTTCCAAAAAAAATATTGATAACACTAAAATTCGTTAAAATCTATTAAACAAACAAAAGAAAATCTGTTGACAGAGGAAAAAAGGTACTGAAATGTTTTGTCCTTGCCTATATAAATAGGTATATATAAATATAGTACAATTTATTCCATAAAACATTTAGTAAACGGAACGAAAAACGAATGTAAGTATCTAAAAACAAAGAATTTACCCATCTATTGTATAATCCTGGGACATGAAACCGTGAAATTTAATCGTATCCTTAGGCAAATATACCCTCATAGTAATAATCTTATAAAACCCATTTGGTAAATCAGAAATATTATGGCGAATGCAAAAACTTTTTCGCCAAAACATTCGATATCGTATTCGAAGTAGCAATTCCGATCCCCAGACCTTTTCAAACAACGTTTAAAGTAAAGCGAATCTTGTGTTCAAAGATATCTGGAGCGTTGTCTTTGTGACGGAGATATTACTAACAATATTTTATTTAAAGACTTTTCTGATCAAAATACTACTATAAATATGAAAGTTTATATGTTTGTTACTCCTTCACGCTAAAATGGCTGGACCGATTTGGATGAAATTTACTACACAAATTATTTTACATTTACAGTGTTGTAAGTTACTAATCATTATAAGATTTTTTATTTGGAGTTTATGTTTTTCTATTGAAAATAAATTTTATTGATGGGAAAGATTAATTATTCAAACAAATCGAGATAAAGAAATGC